CTGACTGTCAAAACAACTTGTCATGTAAGAACCTGTGCGAATCAAAACATGAATGTAACTGTATATATAATAACGAAATCTTCAATGATCACTGTCTTTTTCCAACATTAGCGAAATTATAGGGAAACCGACTATATAGAAGTGTCAATCTATCACGTGGTGACACAATTTCACTCATTGCTGATCATGATGTACAGCATCACCTGCATCGTACGCATGTGATTTCCAGTATAAATTGACTAGTCTAATTAGAGCACAGCATGAGGAAATATCTAGTTGTGACCACAAGTCTGATTATCACCACGTGATGTGTATAATTATTAGCTCAGCTGACGAAGTCAGATTCAGCTTGTAGAATCGCATGAATGTCAGTCCGTCCGCCCGTCCGTCTGTCAACAGTTACGGCACAAATCTTAACCGCTCGACGTATACGGTCTTGATATTCGTGACGTCGAGGGGGGGGGGATCGCAAAAAGGACTCGGGATGTCGAATTTGGTGGTCAAGATGTGTCAAGAGGGGAATATTTCCCCCTTAACTTAAGGTATAGGAGGAAATACGGAATTGCGGCACAAATCTCAACGGCTCGACCAGTCGACCTACGCTCGTAATATTCGATGTATAGTGTGATGGGAAAGAAACCCATCACCAGTGCGAAAGTGGAGGTCACAGGTCAAAGGGCAGTGGGGGAAAGGTCAGATATCAGACATTTTCTGAGGACATGGTCGAACGGACCGAGTGCAAAACTTTTTTGTTTCAGCGCTGACCTACCATTAATGATTTTATTACTTTATTGAAAGGACCATGAAATGTACTTTCCGCTGACGTGCGAAGAGTAAGTGTCTGTTAACCTTTTGACCTTCAAGAGAAGGGTTAAACATGGATTTGTTGACTGTTAACAAAGGACTGAACTGCTTTTGCTATTAGAGCCCCCTCCCCCACCCTCCCCCACCACTATTACGCTCGCGCTCGACGCATATCCATGATAACATGTTAACAATGTTAATATATAGCAAGTACACAGCTGTATCTTTATTAATGTACTACTGGTATAGCAAAGCCTATCAGAGATTTTAGATCTGTATAATTAGTAGTATCCTAGATATATGCTCTGAGCGCGAACGCGGTGGCGGGAGGGTGCACTTGATTCGGTTGCCAGTGAGTTTATCAGAAGAATACCCAGCTACAGTACACGTCAGTTGAGCGTTGTCGCTCTGCGGCACTTGTTATACTTCATACTCTCTCGTTACCATCAGTTTCAGTCAGATATCAGTTGAAGTTTGCCCAATTTATCGTTTAGTTCCAAGTGCAAGTAATAGCAACTGAATTGACTAAAACTGTAGCAGTCACACTCAGTGTAAAAAAATCCCCAACTGCTACAAAACACAGCCATGATCTACTGAATAAGTGGAGGTCTACTGGGACCCCCCCCCCCTATTCAAACAGTCGAGCTTTTATTGCCCTCACCAGATTTCAGTAGGCCCGGAAGAAAAATTTTGCATCTCCCCTAACCTGCCGCTAGGGCAGGTCACTAAACTGTCATTACTAATATGAGCACAGGTTACACATATATAATATATACGATTTATTAATATAACAGTTATCAACCTTCAGATAATTCAGGTCAGCATCCACACCTACTACATGCAGCTACCATAACAAAAACACTGGTGTGGTTCATTGCCTTTCTAGTACGTGTACATATATACACGCTGACAATTTACATCCACGTAACCCTTTACAATTACGCTCCCTGGTCAAATACATACTACGGTAGAAATTTCATATCCTATACTCTCGTATCTTGAATGCTTATAAGCTCGCAAAAACACAGGAAACTAGCATAAATGACCTCAAACCGCTCAAGTTAGCAAATGGGTCAAGTTCTAAAGTACTGATGAATTGTCGGTCTGAGGCGGTCTGTGAGACACTCGCTGCTTTTACAACACACCACACACAATACTGCAAGGCCAGGTAGGCAGACCATATCCTGTTACACGTGGGCTCAAATAGAGGAAATCACCCGTTATTACTCAAATCATGTTATAATATAATATCATAGTTCTGCTGGTTGCAATCATGGTCAAATACAACATGCAGTAAACAATCAAAATGCCGTAAGTCTGATCGGCACGAAGAATTCGACACACGCACGCACGCACACACATACACGACAAAGCTTTATTCCACAGCTCAGGTCAGCTCAGGTCTTGCAGCATTCATATCAAACGCCATCTTCTCCGCCTTTGTAATAACCGACAGAAAATGCCCCCAAACTATAGAACGATCATTTTTTGGCTATGTATACAGTCATACATCCTATGAAATGTCAGCAAAGACAACGTCGCATGCAGGGCAAGCAGAATCGTTCTCAATCCAAGCAAGCTTGACATTAGGGATCGAACAACTAACTGCCTGACAGACGGAGAGTCACGTTATATAGATAAACAAATGCACTGAAAAGCAGCCAGGCAAAATCAAAGAAAGAAGTTGAAGAGATAAAGAATAGATTGTGTAAGTGGCTGTGTGTGCGCGACTACGGTAATGCCAAACCGGCGACAGTAGCTACCTCGCGCATGATACACACACACAACATAACATGACATGTATCCTTAGGCCATCCTCAAAAAATTTAAAACCATTATTTTTTAATGGGTAGGTAGGTAGGTCTTTTTTTGTGAGGCATAATAGTTATTTTAAGTCTGTCCTCATGTTTGCTACACATGCTTTGTGTTTCAGTCTTAACTATAAAAAATGTATACATTTTTTTTTTAATATGGAACCCAAAATGTCAAAAAAAACTTTTGGGTTGCGGCTATTTTCGTGGGTCGGTCGGAGGACAGCAAACATATAATTTTTTAAGGATGGCCTTACTGGACAATTCTTCCATACTGTATTCATGTTCGTTCACTGGGGTACTAGCCTAGGTATGTCATATATAATGTAGACTGCGACAAAAATAACCTAACTTGTCCTGGAAGGGAGCAATGTGGTGATAATCGTTCTGCACGTTTTGACACAGACTGCATTCCACGCTCTTGCTTTGACAAAACAAAGAGCAGTGACACTGCAATCATGATGAATCCAAGTACCATACCTACGTCTTCAATTTTTCATTGGCAGTGATAGGTGAACGACTATTTTACGACGCAGGAGATTAATGAACTAATAGGCAGCCAATAAAAACACTTTGATCCGTTCACCAGACAAGTTTCTATATATATGCACGATTCTACACCCGTTATCTAGCATTATCAAAATATTGTAGAATATTGTGCTACAGATAATTTACAACAGGCAAATATCATAAATGAGATCATACGGAGTGTGAAAAAGGTTTAACTGTATCTTCATTGTAGATTTATAGTACTACATATGTAACGTTGAATTAAAGTTTGATATGTATAAATAATGATGATATAAATCCAAACTTGTGTGGTAACCTGAATAAACTTTAATATCTGCTTGCACACAGTGTGTCCATCTTGCAGAAAGAGACAAAGAAACGCGCACACGCGCTTTTAAGCGCGTGTGCTTACTCTCCCGACCACAACCAGACTCCTCCACTCCTACATCTCTGTCTCCTCAAAACCCCCGCCATGTCTACACTCGATCTGCACCCCTATTTCACAATGACTCGAGAATCTGCCTAAGGCCAAACAAAAAAATAGGTGTGTTTCCGGTCGCCCGACCGTCCCTATATTATTTGGGCAGATCCTAAACTTTTTTCCCAAAAAAAGAAAAAAAAAAGGTTTTTTAATTTGAAATCTGACAGACAAAACTTGAGATTTGTTACTACAAACACGTTCTGGATTTGCTTACTAACTTATCCCTACCTATACACCACTTTATAGCAACACCACTTTTAACTTAAAACACGCTTATTTAATTCTCTGTAACATCAACACAAAATGCGCGATGCTGTATCTAGATAGACTATTACTAAAACAACCCCTAGTCTAACTCCACTGACTACTCTATGTAAACATCTGTAAAACATATGTTACATATAATATTTCCCATCTTATTATTCTTCCAGAATGCATTTTCCCATGATTTAAAATATCGTTATCAGTCAAACTACTGCTCGATGCTCTACTTCAACCTGTGGTTATCTATTAAGATGACTTTTGATGCCAAACTCGGCCACTGAAAGCAATTTTCCTATGAAGATCCACAAACCATACTGCATATAAATTAGTGTAGCTGAATTACAATTTCATGCAAAGCTGATTTCATGTGTATTTATGTGGCCTGTGCATTTCTTTGCAATTACGCTTGTTTATTTGTACCGTGACTTACTTACACTCCAAAATATGTGTCTTTGCCCTAAAAGTGTTTGCAGAAATCTAAAGAACTTCTAAGGCATCTTCAAACGATTGATACTGATTGACCTGTAGCTCCAAGAGACGATCATATAACAAAACACATGTATGTAAACGTCAGTCTCACAGCCCAACTGGTCGGTCTAAGTAAGCCTTAGCTCGAGAACTATAGCCCTTCGCTCCACCACAAGCGCTAGCTGTGGCGGAGCGAAGGGCTATAGTTCTAGAGCTAAGTAAGCCTTTGCCTTCGACTAGTAATTATATGCAGATATTGTAAAAGTACAGACATCAGTCAATAATAAGCAAGGAACTATCTTGACCAGGCTACATGACTAAGGTAAACACACCAATATTTCGTTATTTTTATATGACCGTTTCTTGGAGCTAGTTGGGAACTAGCCCTATCTTATCTGACTTAGGTCAACAAAATTATCTCAACTGTTAGTGTTACTAGTCTGTGCAGTGATGTGTATTTACTGTTCAGCCGCTTTATATTCTGTCTGCACCCTACCAATTCATGTTAACATTGACTGTACCTATGCCTATGGTGGAGGAAACCTGTTTGAAATCACACAAGGGAAGTCAGATAGAACAGATAGTAACTAACAGTAACACAGCATACTTTAGTAACTTATAATTACATTCTGTAATAATAGTAATATATTATAACCACTCACCTTAGAGCTACCCTCACGCTTGTGTCGTCTGCACTAAACATCTTGTGCGATTAATCAGCCTTTGTAATTTTCACCATACATATCAAGAATGAATGCGTTGCATATCAGGCTGAAATAACACAATTTACATAGTTAATAGGATGCGTAACAAAGTTTACCTACTGATTAAATACTTGTAGTTTACGCTACATATAGTTATTACCGTATTCGTGAAAGTGTGTAAGGCATAGAGATTAAATTACGATCGAGGCGTCAATATCGATCACCAAAATATCCAAACTAGGCCCTACAGTCTTTATAGTCTAGGCTACAGTTGATAGAAATCGAATTACTCACCAATTTTTGCGAACCATTACCCTTGCATTTGCAACAATCACAGATCCTCAAGAATTCGGTGCATCACTAAACGGCGCATAGAAGCAGTGTCTTCCTTTACTGTGGAAAGGATAGAAAATTCCAATCGACAACACCTGTTTCACAAGGCAATGAATAAACACTGACTGGTCCCCGTCACTCGTTTAAAACTGCGATCAGCTGTGTGACGTCATGTGTAATGCTACTCCCGCCACCTACATTGTCAAAAAGTCATGAACGGTAAAAAAATAACAACGCATATATTCTAGGCAAGGGATGGCGCTTGCATGACTGTAATATCTTTATTTCGTCGTATTTATAATGATGTATAGCTAAGTATTAAGTTAAACCAATAACCTCATAATCACTTACAGATTCATCTCCTACGTCCAAGGAGTTTGTTAGATCAACCGAATCAACCCTTCATGTGGATTGCGATAGAAAAAGCTTCAAGTTTCAAAAGAAGATGGAAGAGTCTCAATGACAGAAACAGACAAAAGCTAAACTTGAATGGATCCTTGGAAAACGGCACATGTCGAAAGCAAAGCACTACGCAGACCTAGATGATCAAAAACAATGAATAAGGGTATACCAATGTTCACATGACCATGATAAATCCCGTAACATGTTATAAATTAGGCCTATGTAGTTAATAGTTATGTGCCAATGATGACGTTTCAAATCGCACAAATATTTGCAATGAATTATATCAACGCTAGCAAAGAGACAAAGTGGTTTTTTTCTAAAAAGAAATTTATTCAAAACGTTCCTTTCACTGATCTGCCGGTACCAGTGTATATAACCACCCATTTTAATTTCTAAGTGCTGGTTGGGCGTTATGTCATAAAGTGTATACGATCTCTGTTACCAATTTTCTAACGCGTCTAGTACTCCAAACTCACAAAATAACGATAAATATTCAGGATGCGAAAAAATGCACATTGTTACACTCATTCATTTATTGCACATGTGAATTTTACTAACACGTACGTCCATCGAAGCGTCTATCCTTTCAGCATTCTGATTCAAACTGAAAATCGCTTATATGCGCGCGCGTTTCTTCAGTTCCGGCGCCAAGCGATGGGCTGCGGGGCTGCTGTCTCCCTAGAATCCATACCACTCAAGCCACTCTACATAATACGTACCTTTATTCTGCTGTGTTTGTTTATGTGTAACTTATTATAAATGAAAACAGCGTGCTGCTCTGGAAACGCAGCTTCGAGACAGGTTTCATAGCCCCCTTTTCCAACCAGATTGCCACCGTCACTAAGCCTCTTCTATATATAGAAATTCAGGAGCCGCCGCCGATATACTTACTGAATCCTTAACAGACGGACTTGATACAGAGGCGTCTCATTGCAAAAAGAAGCATAATAAAACAAAATTTCCTTCGCGTTAAACGCCAATTAGGGCGACCCTGTTTTTTGCGTATCTATTAAATTTAATATAATTATATATAGAGAGAATTTCAACCATCTGAATGAAAGGACCGGTGTATACTACAGGCACTTGAAACGTCTCAATAAAAAAATAATGGTAAATAAACACGAAATGTATTTACTACCAAAGTCTTAATGTTTCTTTACTCTATTTCGCCTATTATTGCCGATAATTACCCGTAAATTTATGCCGGTCAAATGCTCATTTGCAACACACAAGTACACCGCACGCACGCCCTGTGCACAAACAATATGAATAAGAGATCTTATTGAGACGTTCCAAGTGCCTGTGGTGTATACCCCAGGGCCGGCGCAAGATTTTTTTAAATAAAAGTAGTTGCAAATGTATAAAAGGGCACGGAGACGGCCAATCCCTCCATGCCCAAGCCGGCGCTTACAAATACACAATAGCTGAACATGCGAAAAGTTAGCCTAGCATAGATATATATGAAAACATGCCATCAGTAGACCTCACTTAAGAAATAAGAAGAAGAATTTCATGTAGACCGCCGCTGCATATACCAGTCAGTACACAAACTGGCTATACGTGAGTGTGTTAGCGCGTGCGCAATATCTCATCAGGGGAGTTATATTTTGTGACGTATATGCATTTAACCTGGTTAGGGGGTATCCCAGCATAGATTTCTGTGTTTTACTATTATTAGTATTCCTGTGTTTATAATTGGGAGAGCGCCCTAGCCTATAGAGTGCAAAACTGCTACTTCATCAGGTCTTGTCCTTCCCCCTGGCCTCCATCGTCTTTCAACAAGTCTCCTTTTTTTCTACTGCCACTCAGCTGTCTTTCCTGCCGCCTTTCCCCAGTCTCTCACTCCTCTCCCCCTCAGGCAAGCTATATTGTGCAGTTTTCTTTAGTCCGTACCGCACGTCTGAGGAGGTGCTGGCGCATGCGTAATATCTCCCCAGAAGAAGAATATTTTGCAAAAACTATGCATTTAAAATGAAGAAGAGTAATCCTAGCATAGATTTATATGATAACATTCCATCAGTAAACCTCATTTAAGAAATATAAAGAAGAGCTCCATGTAAGGTAACCATGCTGCATATGCCGCTGCATAAGTTAGTATGTTAGCGCAGGCGCAATATCTCACCAGAGAAGTTATATTTTGTAAGGAATAGGCATTTAATCTGGTTTGGGGGGTATCTCAGCATAGATTTCTGTGTTTTACTATTATCAGTATTCCTGTGTTTATAATTGGGAGAGCGCCTTAGCCTATAGAGTGCAAAACTTCTACTTCCATCCGGCCTTGTCGCTTCCCCCTGGGCCTCATTGTCTTTCACCTTCTTGCGTTTCTCTCTCTCTCTTTCTCTTTCTCGTCTCTCACTCAGTAACTCATCTTCACTCGACCCGGGGGTGGGGATCCGGAGTTACGTCGGCTCGATCTCTCATCTGCCTCAGTCTCCCTTGCTTTTTTGTATTTCCTCTCCCAGGCTTGTCTTCACCTGCCTGCCTTCCTTAGTCTCTCACTCCTCTCCCTGTCCCAACTCTCTCGGTCGCTCAACGCTACTACTTGCTTCCGCATCTTTTCTTCAAGTACCTGCGTCATCCTCTCGTCTCACTCTCTGCTCTGCTCCCGCGTTCTCTTGCTCACGTCTGCACGGTCTCCGGCAGTCCAGCGTACGCGACTCTCTCCTCGTCTCTACTTGTCGCTGGGAGGGATCAGGGAAGAAAGATCGAAGTTTCCTGCCGTCTTGCATTCTGTCAAAAGATGTAAGAAGAGTAATGCCTAGCAATAGATTGTATATAATGAACATTTCTCCAGTAAACCTCGACTTAAGAAATAGAAGAAGAGCTCTAGCGTAAGGTAACGCGCTTACATATACGAGTCAGTAACTCAACTGCCTAACAGGAGGCTACATCTACTCTTGCTGACAATTCAAGACAAGTGCGCCCATATCGTCTCACCGAGACCGATGACATCTATATCCAGCCCTGTAATTGATACACGCGGCGAAGTATATCACATTTAAATCTGTTAGGACGGTTAAATCTACAGCATAGATTTCTGTGGCATGGCCAAGTTAAAGCACTGTAAGATACCTGAGCTGAATTTTGCCCTAGTGAGTGTTTATAAATTGTGAGCGATAGCACCGCCCCCTAGCCGCATATAATGAGCTGCGAGAACCGCCGCTGATTGTGAAGTTCATTGAATATCCCGCTATTTTGTTGTTCTCGCTCTCTCTCCCTCGTTACTTTCTCTCTCTCCTACTCTCTCTCTCATCTCTCTCTCTCTCTCTCGTCTCTCTCACTTGTCCTTTGCGACTCTGCTCTATGATCCTTCTCTTGTGACTGCTCCTCACGGTGTTCGCTTCGTACTTTCTTTCCGTCCTCAGCCTTATCCGCGTGCTCCTTAGCCTGGCGCCACTCCCTTTCTCCCTGAAGCGAAGCCTATAATTGTCAGTTCACTCCTCAGTCCGTACCGGCACTATAGACCGGGCCACGCGCCCGGCCGGGCGCGCCTGGAAAAAGGATTTCGCTAGATACACGCGGTAAGAAGACGTCGTGGCGGCCATCGCGACGCCTATGGAGTTGGGCTGGCGACCGCGCGAATCAATGTGCGAAAAATTCGATCAAATAATTGTCCATTCTGTGGCGGCCGGCAAACAGAGGCTCGCGTGCCAAAAGGCGAACACGATAGCGCGCACATAATTACAAAGCAGAGACGAAAAGTAATATGTTTGTTCGTGCGTAAAATTATGCATGCAAAAGAACGAGGAAGATATTCTAGGCATAGGTTTAATGATTTATAGTGACAGTCTCTAGTGTTATTAGACCGCTACTTCTTATATCTCTACAAGAGACGGAACTGAAGGAGCTTCGTGTATGGACTGACGGCTAGCATACACTAAGTGTCGCAATACTATGCATAAAGCGAAGCTCTGTACGTTCGTTCGTTGGCCTGACTGCTTCTGTTGCAGTGGCGCATATTACGACAACCTTGACCGCGTCCCCGGTTGCTACGCAGCGATAATTGATGGTGGGAGACGTCCAGTCTGTGTGGGCTTGAACTCTCACACGAGTGGAGACATGGAGAATTTAACGATGGCGTTGACGCAAAAGTATGAGGTTGAAGTTTGGAGGATCTTGCTACAATGCATCACTTAACGACTTGATGTGTTATATCGAAACCCCTCTCTCAATTTGGAGCGCATATAAAATCTCTGAGATAATATATAATATCTGCGTTGGCGTTTGCTGTTTGAGAGATTATATGTGCGTGGCACGAGAGACGCGCGGCCCCTACACCCCTTTCCCGTGTATATTAGGGGCTGTAGGTAGGTTAGAGGAAGTGGGTGACACACTTAAGATTGACAGTGGGCTGCTGCTTTCACTCGATAATAAATTATTATTCACAGGCGTGTTGTCTGATGTTGGTATCCTTCTAACTTGTACAATTTTCATGTAGAACCAATATTCCTTTGCGTTGAGCTGATTTACATTGACATTGAGGTATTCGAGATGCGCGGTGAATCGTGAGAATCTTCCACAAACCGTCACTCGCCTTGCCTTTCTGGTCCTATCTATCCCGTTCTAAGCAGACTAGGACGCCCGACATACGTTGCCTTTTGAGAAATACACGCTCGTCTGCAGATCTCCGGTACCCTCTCTCGCCAACCGTGCATCTTTACATTCTACACAACTTCAATCCATCCTGTAAAGAGGCAGCCGACAGTGCTACATACTATACAGTGAAACATGATTTGTAGA